ACGATCCCTAACCCCCTCCAGGACTTCCATGAACGGCGAGCCTGACCGGCGCGCCTAAAGCCAGCTCTGAAATCAACCTCAATCGTTGAGCCTTGGATAGGGAGCCCATGAAACCCCGCACCTCCTCCCAGAACACTTCACTCAACTCCGCCCCAACCTTGTCCAGGTTGACTCCCCGATGTCCTGCCGGACGAATGCTCGGAGAGTTGAGGCCAAATCCATCGACCATCTTGCTGGCCTTTCCTTTGTACCACGCTTGATGCCAAAGGTGACCTTGGTGATGGTGCCGGTGCTGAGCTGAGTTGTGCCCTCACACGGGGTCGAACCTTCAGGCATTGTTGAAGCTTTCCCTTTAAAAGAGCTGAGAAAATGCCCTTCGCGAGCCAAGAGTCCATCCTTGGAGGGTATGCCGCGGTTGCGGACGTGGCAAATGCCCCGTCCGTTGTCTTACGGATCAAGGTCTGATGTGGCCTGGTACAGCTGCAACGCGACGGAAGTGGACCTAAGTAATGTCCGCGCTCATCAAGGTGCGGCATGCCTTCCCACAACTTGAGGTTGAACTCGAGGATGTTGTGCAACAACCGCGTTGGCATTGGGGAGGCCGCGCCAAAAGCGCATTGAAAGAATGCCCCGCAGTAGGCCTGGTTGGCCGCCACCCAGCTGCGAACAGGGAGGAGCTGCCAGATGGATGCGGGTCTCATATCTGAGCTGTATCAAGGCGTCGCGCCCAAGTCCTCAGGATGTTCTAGCAGAAACAAAATGTCCAGCTTGACGCATATAGTGAGAGCCTGTAAAGACAAATCCACCATTGAATTAACCTGTGTGACTTTGTGCAGCGGCCAACCTTCTAACCACAGAAAGCCGTAGGGGTGCATGGAGCTGCAAAAAGGGCGTGGCCCGTGGACATTGGCCAGGGTGCCCGTGACCAAGTGCCGCACGGCGGCGACGTCGTAGAAGCCGTCCTCCAATTTCTTCAAAATGGATTGACGAAGCTCATCGTGCAATAAATCATGACTTGGATCTCTAAGGATGTCAAAGGCGTCCACATGAATTCTGATTGGCTTCTTAGAAGCCTTGGCCAATTGCTGCAGCACCTCAGGTATCCCCGTAGAGGGTTGGGGTCCTAAGAAAAGATAAAGTCCTTTAAACTCCTGCACAAGTTCATGCACGGGTTGAGCGGGACTTGAGGTCCCTAGTCACGAGTCCTTCGAATCCGAGGGGTGCTCGAAAGAGGGGTGTCCAAACAAATCCGACAGGCGTGAACACGATTGCAACCACCCTTGCAACCTTCTTGGGGATTGTTCCAAGCAAAGCACAATTGGCGCCCGTCTGGGGTGACTGCATGAAGAGATGACCCTCGACCCTTTGATTTCCCCTTTCCTTTCTTGTGCTTGCTCTTTCCTTTGCCCTTCCACTTCTCCACCGGCGGCTGCCCATAAAGATGCTGACCGTCTTGTGCCCGATTGCGGCCGCTCCACGGCTTTTTGAAGGCCTGTGAGTCCGAAGACACCGCCAACGGAGTGCTGAAGTAGTGCTCCCTAACATCTGCGTTCTTCACCACCTCACGCAGGGCCTAAATCCAAGCCATGCCATTGTTGACCTCGTCCACCGCCTCCTTGCGCATCTGGAACTCGTAGCTCATGATCAACTTGAGCGACGGACGGTGAAGTGGGACCTCGTCGATGGAGACTGATTCCAACTGGGCAACATTCTTACTGCAGATGTAATTCAAATACTCGATCGATATAAAGGGAGAGATGCCGTCCAAGACCTGTTTATGAGGATACCTGAAACGGGCAAAGATCAGGTGGTTCACAACCAGGTTGATCTTCGAGCGGAAGTCCTCCATGTTGGTGGGAACGCTGGTCTCAACCCTGGCCCTAGACTTCTTGATCCTCACCTGACCTGCAGGTTGCCCGTCTCCGCTTCTCCTCCGCCCGCGAGCCAAAGTGCCTCAATGCCATGGCTCTGAACTCACCCCCATCGATCTGCTCGCACAGGTCCTCGAAGCTCGGCTTGCCTGGGCACTCAGAGTCTTTCAACTTATAAAATTTCTTCTCAAACTCGCTGCCGTAGAGTTGCATCTCCGCCCCGGGCACGGCCTTGGGCGTCTTATGCGTCACTGCCTCCGCGCCCATCTCATCCATGGCCGCTGTCCTTTTCACCGATGACTGCCATGTTAGGAACAAGGCAGCGAACCTTATAGCATCGACCGGCCTGGCCGCCACATCAATTCCCATCTCCGCCTTGGCCAAATCCATGAAGGACGCCCTGTCCGTTGCAGTTGCAATAGCCGATAGCATGGCTATCGATTTGACCCCACTATCATACAATGCCTCCTGCATTGCCGCGTCCACCCCGCGAGCATCCAAGAGCCCCTAAAAGTCGGGCTGAAGCTCTGCGATCTTCTCGGCTTGCGAAAAACCCGCCATGGCTTCGCGCCACCTAACCTCCTCTCCGGGAAGATCGTTCAATGAGGACAATCCCTCCAGGACTTGCCCCAATGAGGGGCCACCCAACCTAACTCGAACCAAATCCCGGACCGAACGAATCCACCGACCGAGAATCCGGGAACGACCGAGCCCACCAACCTGGTGCCCCTCCAAGGCCCGCCCAGCACCCCAACACCACTTTTCTCGGACATCATTTCAGATGTCTTCGTCCGATACGCCCTCACTTGAGGAGGACTCCGAAGAGGTGGATTGCTCGGCTTCCTCACCATTCGTCAAGGCCTCGGCGATCTTCTCCTTCGGAGTGAAGCATATGCTACACAATCGTTCGCCGCTCTCCGCCGAGATCTCTGGGCGCTCCATGCCAACCACGACATACTCACGGTAATACACGCCGGAAATTCTATAGCAACCACCCATGATATGTAGTGTACGGCGTTTGGTACGCCCCAGCACCGACAGAATGAAGGTGCCCAAAGGAAACCTCTCCCCTGGTGGGACATCATCCATGCCCTCGTCATCCGAAAACACCTCGGTTAGGGAGTCCGCAAACTGCACATCCACCTCCTCCTTGGCCACCAGGGGCTTCTTGATCACCTTCACCGGCCCCTCACCCAATCCGCCCCACATAGGGGGCGCGATCTTCATGCTCTCCTGGTGCGACTCCGAGACCGACTTGAGGTGGACCGTCTAAAGCCATAGTAAAAAGCCATTCAGCACAGACCTGTCGTCCACATAGTCGGTGATTCCATACTGACCACGAATCTTGGCCGCCAGGCTAGCTTGTGCCGTGGTCACCACCCGCTTTGTTGTCACGGCGTACTCTTTGCCGACACCAGGTAACCACCTACCCCATCGCCTTCTTTTCTCGCGTGGGACCTCAGCTATCAGAGCCCAGCTCATAATGAGGACCCGTTCGCTACGTTTACTCCAGTAGGAGGTGCATTCCGGATTCATCAACTTGTGCAAATTGCCCTCGTTGTCCTTCCTGGCCGAATAAATCTCCGTCAGCAAGGCGCGGGAGAAGCACATCGCGTCCGCATACCTCATCATGGACGGCCTAAAACCTTGAAGGTTTTCCGTGGGCTTGCACATGAGGAAATCTCGGTTGGCCATCTTGACATCCCGGTTCATGGTCATGAAGAGCTTTAATCCTACCCTCAACCACTCTCGGGAAACCAACCCAGCGTCCTGGCAGATGTAGAACTGGACAATCTCTGCTCGACGACCGACCCCCCGTTGTTTTCCCTCTTATTGTATCTCCTTGAAGCCCGACCGCCTCGTCGAAGGTCAACGTAACCGGGGGCACCCCCTCGGCGTCATGCGAGCGGAATGCTCCCCACAATTTCAAAATCTTAAACCAACAAAATACCCTCCTAAACTTCTACAAACTAACATCCAGAACCCGCATTTTCCATGCACGCGCCACTTCGAGCGGAATGCGCGCTGCTTTCACCCTTTGGTGAGGAGCCCAAGAGTTGCCCTTCGAGACCTCCATCAAACAGTTATACATACATGGCCTATGAAGAGGCGAGGCCTCTTTCCCTTATTATTTCGGTTGCCATTTCTATGCACGCCACGATCTTAAACAAGCACTCGGGACGTTGCGACAACAAGATTCTTCAAAAAAGAGGATTATATACCCTATGAAATTCGAATATTCCCTAAGCCAAGCCACCCCATAAATAAATTCCATAAAGACCTACAACCTCCTGCCATATTAGCGGATAATAGACGTACGACGACCCATAACATAACGAGCCGCCAGAAGCTTCATAATTCTATATCCTTAGAAATAATATCCAAGGATTCGGCATCCTCCAACAACTTCAAAACCTTAATTCGGAAGAAAATTAGTCAATTTAATATCTATTATTAAAATAAAAATAAATAATAAACATTTGTATTCGTAAAATTAATTATCCTCAACATCCATCTATCGCCTCTTTCTTTTCGCTTCTCGAAGAAAATCCTAAAAACCCGCTCTTCCCATCGACAACATCTCGCAAATCTCATCCTCAAATATATTATCAAGAAATACGAGAGATTTTCGATATCATCCTTAAACCACCAATTACCCAATGCAACCAACCAAAATCATAATTATCCTAACCCCCCAATCCAATTTTAAGCCACGTTTCATCGATATTTCCTTTGTCTATTTTCGATTAATATATATTAACATACAAACAAATAATATATTTATTTATTTATTTATATAATAATTATTATTTTTTAATCGCCTAATAAAAAATACCTAAAAACCTCTTACTATTATATTTCAATACGATATATATATATATATATATTCATTAAATTTTTATATTCTATATAATCAATTTATTCTATATAACCTACCCTCCAAATCCCTAAATTCATTTCGTTAACAAACATAATTTCAACCTAACCTATTAGTAATTTTTCGTAAAACATATAGAATATTTATTTAAATCATACGTTAAATTCATATTTAAAACAATCGTAATGAACAACTCGTATATAATTTCCTAACTGTAATTTGCCCGATAACATATTCATCGATATCGATACTTTTTGAAATAATCGATCACGTCTGTTGCAATTCCACAGCCTCCAATGGGCCTGGAGGTTCTGAGCCTCTAGTATGTTGAGTGCGATGTTGTTGACAGCCTTAGCATGAGGTGCACTCTTGAGCTTGGTTAAAAGCAAAAGGACACTTTTGCAGTATAGTTTCCTTCAGGCCGGTGTCAAGACTAGAACCTGACTAAAACCTTGACATTGCCTGTCAAGTTTACGTGAACACTTCCAGAAATGCAAGTACGAACATGACTCATGACTGTGGTCGATTGATTTTCTTGCCAAAACCACGCGCCTTTCTTGATCTTGGCCATCCACAGCAGGACACCAAGTCCAAGCAAACCAGCCTAGCTAGTGCAAAATGCATGTCGTGACAAGAGTTGAGTTGATTGAGGGCGCTTGCCAGCCCTGCTTCCTCTGTGCCCGAGACTCGAAGCATGTAAAGCGCCTAGTGGCTTCTTGTTCCTAGTAGTAAGGCCAGGAGCCCCTAGTAGCGTCCTTACTCCTAGTAGCGATGCCCTTTGCTGCTCCTAGTAGCTTCTTG